CAAAAGAAAGTAGGAATGAATTATGGATTGAGTGTCATTGTAGCATAATTTGTTTACGAATGCTTAATTTGATTTTGGGTTATATCCTGTGCATTAGTCACGTAGCCAATTAATTTGTTTGCCTTCTCCCATTTGACATACTTACAAGGTCCTAACAAATTGATGGAAGCAAGAAAATCAAAGTTCAAGCGCAAGCCTAACAACCAACCCTTATTTTAATTTCCAGGTCTGGTCCAACATGTGATTGTGCCATAGGAGATGAGAATGCATCAGCAGAACTGTTGGCGCAGTGTCGGGAACCGAACACGACCCGTGCCCTCACCTGCTCCGGCGCCGGCGACTGTCTCTGCGGAGAGTGCGACTGTGACATAGGCTTCACTGGGAGATACTGCCAATGTAAAATGTGTGATGTTAGCCTGTAAGTATCATCTTATTTAGAAAATTATTTTTAGTGCTTAAGTAAGTAAGATTTTATAAGTTTTGTGTCGTGGCATTGGGCATTGACTTTAATCTGGCACCGAATTCAGTTAAATATTTTGCTTCTAGTTTACGTAAAAATCGTAGTGTTTTTGTCTCTGCAAAAGTCTAAGTTTCGAGTGTCAATCGATACTAACCAGACGCGCATTACGTCGTGAGGTATTGAGAGCATCAGTAAATACACTTTACGTTAGGCACCGACTGTCGATACTTTGAGTATTTCTGGATATATGCGGAATGTGTTTACTTGTCTCTTTTGGAATAGGCGCGTTACTTCCTACTGATGCTTGTTTAATGGCCTGGTTAATGTGCCTCAACGAAATAACTGCTTATGCTGTTATGCAAATAAATAATCTTCCATCGCCTCGGGTTGGTTTGTTTTGTTTTGAATTTTACGAGTAACTTAAAGATAAATGAATTATGTCTTTCCGGCAGGCAAGTTGCAAATAAGGACGAAATTGATTGCAACTAATTTATTTAAAAAAAAAATTACATAAAAGTATTATTGCTAAATTAGTGACTCTTGGTCGAAGTTGGAAGCAAAAGTGTGTGTATTGTAGAAAACGATGCTGTCGTCCGGTCCGTCACGTTGTAGGGCACGATGGGCTGATGCAGCGATTTCGCCATCGATGCACGACTGATGCAATTTTAATAAGTATTTCAAATAATTTGCCAATCTGCGGAATCCATGGACTGTTGCTATGTAACATTTCTAGATTTTATTTGTTTACTTCGAATACCAATAATAAGCTCTAAAACGAGCATTAGACAAATGAGTGATGATTTGACTAACTAGATTTTTTTAAATTATTTTTTTCGTGTTAGAAAGAAATATTAGAGATTTATAAATCTAAATTCGTGTGTCATAATACGTTTCCAGTGAAAATGGTCTGGAGTGTGGCGGAGTGGGTCGCGGCGTGTGCGCGTGTGGTGAGTGCGCATGCGCGCCGGGCTGGAGCGGGCCCGCCTGTGACTGCACCAATGACACTAACTCCTGCATCTCTCCGGCTGGAGGAGATATTTGCTCGGGACATGGGGAATGTGTTTGTGGTCAGTATATTATCTTGAACAATAGAAACAATAATATCAGAAAAATAGCAAAGAAATGCTTGTGCCTATGTTGTATCTTCTGTTGTTAATGTAATAAAGTTAAAAGATTTATTGACTGACTAAATACTGTTATCAAAATGGACAAACAAGAATTTTAGAAACTCAAATAGAAGTACATATTTGAATAAAGCAATTCTTCAGTGGAACAACATAACAGAGACATGCGGAGGTCGCGACCTCTTGAATAGTTAAAGAAACAAATTTTTATAAGAGTGTCTGTTTACATTTTTCGAAGGTTTGCCTACATATTAGATAAGGGTCAGGTGAAAGTGAATGGGTACTTCGAAACACCTGACAGAATGGGCACAATTCAGAACTAGTAGGTTTTATATGGTTTTGATTGGAGAAATAAGGATGGAGATTAAAAACATGTGAGCTACCAACAGCAATTTTAGGGTACCTTTTTATAGGTAACGTTTGGGAATCCTTATGGATTTCTTTTGTATGTATATGTCTAAACCACAGATATGTTAGTTAATATTTATGGTCTAAACATTATCCACCAGATAAAGTAAAAAAAGTGGTTTCACCATACTTAGTTATTGATTAAAAACAAAACGGATGAGGGTTGAGGGACTGCTCGCTTGGCGCGGTGACTGGGCAACCGACTGCCGCGCAACGTGTAGCGGGTTCAATTCCCGCACGGAGCAACTCTTTGTGTGATCCACAACTTGTGGTTCCGGGTCTGGATGTCATGCGTATTTGAACCTGTATGTTTGTAAACGCACCCATAACACACGAAAAAGTCTTAGTCTAGATCAGCATCGACAAACTATCGAAGTGCTTAAGACATGTGTATGCATACATAATACGATTCAGTACTGCTTCTTAAATACCTAATGCATTCAGTTTGGTGTCCAGGTTGCTACTTTAGCATCACCTTAAAGAACCTATGTGCGACTTGCAGGTAGATGCGAGTGTTCAGTGGCGGGCGACAGCGGCGCGAAGTACTGGGGCTCGTTCTGCGAGTCGTGCGCGACGTGCCACAACCCGCTGTGCGCGCACGCCGAGCCGTGCGTGGCCTGCAGCCTGCGGCACGACTGCGGCGCGCGCGCCTGCGCCCGCGGCGTCAACTATACCGTCACCGAACTACTCACCGACTTGGGTATGTCGGGTTCTCTCAGCTTCTTCATTATCATTATCCTTCTGTGTTTATATCTTCCTTCCTTATGTTTATATCTTCTATATTCTTCATCTCTTTCTTTATTTTCATTTCTAAAGGCTGTTTTTACCACCTTGAAATAGGTAGATGATACTTAACGACATTTGATTTTTACTTATCTATACCTAAGTGAAACGATATCTAACGTTGAAGGAGTCAGTGTAGATGTTCCACACACTAAGTACAAGTAACCTGAAAACGGCCAATAGACTCTTCCCAAATAGGCTTCTACTTGGCAAAGAATTGCGATTGTTGAAATCATTTACCAGCATCAACCCGAGGTGATTTTATGAAATAGGAGGGAAACGAGCAGACGGATCACCTGATGGTAAGCGATCAGCGGCGCCCATGGACACCCGCAACATCAGAACACTAAACATTAGTACTCAAATTTTTAAAACTTTTGCTATTTACGCCGTACCAAGTGTAGTCTTCCTACTATCATAGTTTGTGTCTGAGGTCAGTCAGGCTCACATTAGTACACTTAGAGAAAGTAACCCATTCGAAGTTAATGTAGCAAAACTGCAGCCCATTAAGTTGTGGTTAAGATTACTCTTGAACATGTTAAAAAACAGTGGCTTTTGCCATTTAAGTGGTTGTGGTTTGCGGTTCACTAATGCTAATTTGTTTATGATTGAGATGGGGACTATTAAAGTCAAAAGCATTAACCATCGGTACTTGCTTATAAAATACTTGTATCCTTCACAAAGATTTTTGGTTGAAGCAAATATCATAATTCACTTTATTGCCCATTAGCCACATTACTACATTTTTGTTACAGTAACGGATAACCTAACAACATGTATCCTACGTCTGGAAGAAGATAATCTCGAATGTGAATACAAATACACGTATTCTGCCAAACCCTCATCAGGGGTTGAAATTATGATTGGAGGCAAAGAGTGCTATAGTCCAACCAGTGCTAAAATCGTGACAAGTGCAGTAGTTATCATGGGCTGCGTCATTGCAGCAGGATTAATAATCGTATTATTCGTGAAGTGTGGACAGATTATGTCTGATAGAAGGGCCTATGCGAAATTCGTCAAAGAAGCACAAGAAAGCAGGAAAAATATGCAAGAATTGAATCCTTTGTACATTTCTCCTATTTCAGAGTTCAAATTACCTGATTCGTTTCCTAGAGACAAGAATGATTAAGTCTTTACTACGTAAGTGTTCTTTTTGTACTTAGTTTTTTTGAACTCGTTTTTTATAGTATTATGGTTGCAATAAGCGTTGACAGCGCCTCTGGTGGTGAAAAAGTGAACCAGTGTTGTATGTATGTACTTATATTTGTTTTCGACGTATTTTGTATGATAGCATAGTCGTTACTGTATCGTTTGTGTTTTAGTATTTCAGATTTGTGCAAATTGTAGATTTGTAATTATATTTGTATTTTCATACAACTTCAGTGACTTACTGTTCGAATTTAAGCTTTATTATTTCAGTGATAAACTTTATAATAGGAAAATGTTTACTATTTTCCAATTTGTCATAATATTTCATAGTACAAAATATATTTAATGAAATCTACTTATTATAAGTCCTATACGTACTTATACATATTTTCCTAAAGTTGATGCCATTTGTGCCTTTGAAATTATTTTTTTTTAATAAATCAACCGTACTGTTCATCAGTCATTCTTTTTCACATAGGTATAATATTCTTCTTGGTGCTTTTTTCTGCATTAGAGAAACTTTCGTATTTAAGTATGTATTAAAAATGTACTTATTTTTTTACTTAATATTCGTAGCTTGATTAAAGCTTATTGTAATTATTGTTACTAGTCGTGCAAGCATTGCATTTTACGCCTTCATAATAATTATTTTTATTGCTAAGTTGATTTGATGAATTAAGTAATAAATTACTGATTAAGTATTAATTCAAGTACACTGAGAATCGTAATTACTGTTAATTGTGTTACGTTATAACGATAATTACACAAAATACTTGTTGTTACAATTATTATATTATATTGTTGTTGCACTTCAGCGATATAATATTTCGTAAATAGTATTTTAATGCAATTAAGTCCTGTAAAAAAATTATCTATCTACTATGTACTACTTATTTTCCAAAATGAAATCTTTTGCACAAAAATATTTAAAGATGTTATTCGTTATTTGTGTATGTATTTTAATTACACAAAACAAATGTTGGACTAATTTAAGTTCCTAAATATAAGTTGTTTCGTCAAAAAAATTATGTTTTTCTAAAATTTGTAAATAAACTAAACCAAAAATAAAACTCCCGTTAACATTTTCATGGTTTTATTAAAATTCGACGCATCCATATAAATCTTAGTTTGTTCTTTTTTCAATATTTTTGTAAAGATCAGAATGAGTACAAATGAATGCATGCCACTTCCACCACAGCGAGATTGGTAAAAAATAAGTACCATACAACGTGTCTTTGTGTTCAGGGTAAATTAGACCGTATTCTATTTATATGTAGCTTTAAAGTCGTGTTAAACCTTTATACATTTATAAGGCATATTTTATGTAGGTACTCCACAGCACGTTTAGGATGAATATATTTTACAATATAAACTTTAACACATTAATCGCCGCGTTAAAACTGTTGAAGGTAGGTAAATCCTTCGATTCGCTAGTATACGTTTGCTAACAGTATCTACACAGACATGGCATTCAAAATGTTAATGAAATAAGTATTTTATCTTTTTAGGTCTAGTTTACCCTAGCACTGTTGCTTGGAAGACTAAATCGTAACTAAACATATTTACATAATCTTAGCTCTACATTATCACCCACTCCGTTATTTACTTAAACATAAATTACAAGAAAACTTAATTTATAAGAGGTATACTTGTAAGTACAGGATGTATTTCACAACATTTATACATAATTTTGAAATAACATTTTCATATAAATTTAGATTTTTAGCAAACCAGTTCATAACAACTAATATTAAGTAGCCGTACAAAATTCTTTAATCTTATCCATAAAATCACATCCAGAATTATCTTATTTTAATACCTTAGTTTGACTAAGTACCACAGGTTTCCGTACACAACTAATTCTTATAAAAATAATAATTATATATAGGTACCTATGTACATAATTATTAAGTTCGAAATAATATTTGTAAGTAGCTGGAGGAAATCAATTTGTGGTTGTTTTTTGAATTATGTTAAAAGTTAGTGTATGACATTTAATACATGATAACAGCATAATCAAATGCTTATACTGATGAAGTAAAGAGGTATAAGAGCTAATGGGGTCGTGATTTTATAACATATCCAACCAATATCTTTAATTCACACGATAATAATAATAAAAAAATAATACAAACAAATCTTGATTTTCTTTTTGACTTGCTTTACAATACAAGCAGCCGATGTTCGCGTTTCGCACATTTACATGTAAGAAATCTGCATAAGATAGTGTCTATCCGTTTCAAGGCTATTTCCATCAATAAACATAAATATAATAAATGCACAATTTGGATGTTTGTGGATTTTTATTGTTCGATAGATTCAAGGAGTTGGGTACACATTATATCGTATAACTTTTAGGCAGAGTCTTGAGTCACGGTGCCTCGCGAAAGCGGAATCAGCCGCGTACGAAACAAATACGGACTCAGCCTTAATTTGAGACTCATAACAAAATATGATATAAGTAGGTACTCTCAAAAACGAAATATATTTTTTTCAATCTTTTGTTGTTCTGATCCAGTAACACAAATGTTTTCCAGTAACACAAAATATATGCGTACCAAGACTCCTTTAAATATGATCACATCAATACGGCCATCCAGCTTTTGGATACAGTACTGATAAAGTTTGTACTAAAACCAGAAGTAAAACGAGTTTAGCTGTTGGTTGTAGGATAGCTACATACAAAATACCAGGCAAGCTATACCTAATTTAGCTTTAAAACCTTTTAATTTCCTAGAGAAATTCGTTCAATAGCTCTTTAAACGACTTTTTATACATATAAGGCCCCGTTGATATCAATTTACTATAAAAGGCAATACAGCAGTCAAAGATTATACACATGCTTTGCTGAACACAGTGTCAAAGAAATATCTTATTATAAGTAATAGTATGTTGTACATGTAATCTCATATCAACTAGCCGTAACTGTTAACCTGTTTTCGTTAAACAAAGAGGCACGAGAGGCTTGGCCAAATGGTTTATTTTAAATTCCTAAGTGACTTAACATGTTGTATTGTTAGAAAACGAATTCGATAGAAAATATTTGGCTATTTCGTAAAATATGAATATTGAGTCTATACTGAGTCTGGGCCAAGCCTTTCGCCTCATATTAGTATATCTACAACAGTGCATGATGACGTCACACTTGTCGGTCGTGTCGTGCGGGAGGCATCACAGTCATAGGGCCGGGAGCACCATGCTTGGCTTCCAGCTGAACCGGCTTGGAAGGTACTTTGGCATCAGTCGCTGGACGTGCTGGATGTACTGGCACTGGCACTGCATCGGGAACTAGTTTTCGGATCAACTCTGACATACATGGCCATGGAACCAGCCTGGAATTATAAAGACTTCATTTAGTACGGTGATCTAGATATGCAGAATTTTAAATTCAGACTGAATTGTTATATCAATTGTCATCATGTATTTATAATACAAGTGATGTAAAAAAAAATTATCTGATTTCAGCTGAACAATAAATAACTTGAATAAAGAATAAAATTAATATAGTCACAAAATTACATCATGTCATCAAATGAAACTACAAGTCACGCTTGACCAGAGCTGAAGTTACGGAGATCGTATCATATATCATATAAGTTGTGTCATACGACTTACAGCTTGAACGGCAGCAAGACGCGGAAGAAACCAGGAATGAGCGCGAAGGGCTCGTCGGTGCGAATCGCCATTACCACACGGTCAGCCACGTCGTTTGAGTTCAGTTGGGGTACAAATCTGAAACCAGGATTAATTTATTAGGGTTATTTCGCATCGGCTTGAATAATTTAGCACAGTAGAGCCTCTTAAACTTTGTTTTTTTTTTGTGATCAATGGAATAGAAATTAAAAATAAAAGTCTTACCTAGAATTGACCTCTTCAAACATGCCAGTCGAACGTATAAAATATGGGCATATTAGCGAGGTTTTAACTCCAGTATAGCCTTGTGTTTCCAGCTCCAATCGCAAAGCTTCATCGAAGCCACAGGCAGCGGCCTTGGAAGAGCAATAGTCTACCAGCTTAGCTACTCCAACATGGCCAGCCATTGAAGCAATGGTCACTATGTGCCCACTGTTGTGTTCCATCATTGCTGGCAGGAACGCTTTTACAGTCTATGGAAAATAAATTAAGCAAATTAATTCCAAATATGATAAAAAAAATGCATATAATGTATAGATACAGTATCGTTTAACGCATTTGATTGATCTGCATAAATTGCTCATACTGCTAGGTTAATGAATAATGACTCATGCCTGGTTACTTCGACCTTAAACTAGTTTTGGTGCAATTTAGTTAAGTAACCTTGGATATCCAACGGGCAATGTAAACCGCTTATAAAAATGAATAGAACAGCCATTGCTAACAGTGGTGTACCTCAAGGTTGTACATTGGGTTTAATCAACATTGGTCTGTTTCATTTGTTAATTGAATTGTCTCACCATTGTTGTTGTCACACTGTTCATCGGATTGTTGACCAGAATTATTGATTAATACACTATCCATAATCTATACGTGGGCATACAATGATTATTCAATGTTAGTTTCTAACAAATCAATCGTCTCATTATACTTAATCCTAGTTTTTACGAGGAATAATTTTCCTCACCATTGATCAACCGTCAAGCATGATTTGACGATGGGTACATTATGTTCAAAGGCTTAATAAATAAGTGTTATTTATCGTATTAGGACGTTATGCAAAATTATGCTAAAATTCGTTTTCGCGGCTGTCAAAATCAAATTAATTTATCCTGTTTAAAAGTTATGTTTCCTTTTGTAAAGTGTTATTCATTAAAGGCTTCTAATAACGATGTAATTTTTTGCAGTCAATCTAGTACCTATGTAATTCTTTTTATTAATTTCCCAATTAGGTATCCAACGATTTTAATTAGGTATACAATGACATACAATTTATATCTATTTCATTCGCATATATACGTACATTCGTGTAATAGGATAATTACTGTAATAAGGTTTTGTTGTAATAATTTTGACAATGAAAAAATAAAAAATACATTTAACATAACCAATGGTGTGCAAATGAGCTTGGAAAATAATTTTATTCTTCAGATCCTAATGGGAACTTAGGACAGTCTTACTCTTAATTATATATATGACAAATTTCAGAATCAATTTGTTCTTATTAGTATTTTGTATATACCTTGTACGAGTATCGCCACATGATTTCAATTGTTTTACTTTTAACTTATTATGCTATACTAACATTTTGCCGACTGCACTATATTGGCGCATTCATGACACAAACTACTAACAAAATTATGTTATTTATAATCACACTTGTTAATTAATGTAGTACTTGAATGTAATAATGTAGTAAATAGTAATTAATTTAGTAGTAATGTAGTATAGTAATTATTGTAGTAATTTTATTTCTGTGAACATGCCGTCTTCGTTGACAACCAACACATCTCAGTGTACGTGCAAACTGCTCGTAGATACTTAAAGTAAGTAGAAGTAATTCAAGTAATTACCCAAAAATGTGCCAAGATATTGACGTCAAATGTCCGTTGTATAAGATGGTCAGGAGTCTCGAGAAGGTAACTCCCGGACACGACACCAGCGTTGTTGATCAGCAAGTTTACCTGGAAATTGAGAAAAGGATTTATGTTAAAATTTTATCACCATCGCTATCATCAACCCGTGTTCATTGCTGGACTAGGCTGAACATAGGCCTTCAATAACTCATCATGCACGTAATGTAGGACACCCTGGAGTGTTCTCAGACACATTATGTTTGTATAGATGGGGTTTTACTTCAGAACATATCTCGGACACCTATCCTAAACTACGTATGGTTGTATGCTACAAGGATCTTAAATAAAAGTATGGTATATAATAAATCTAGTAAACCAGTGTACCTATAACTAATTTTTTTCGGTGTTGTTGGAAACATGGAAACGGACTAAGTATAAAAACAAATAACTATGATAAATATTTAAAGTTCAAAAGTTCATTCTAAAAGAAGATTTTGCTTTGTTGTTATTCGTACTTGTATCGGTTAATGAACATTCCTATCTGTCTTCTTTAGAAGTAAAACTGCTTTTGACTTTAGCAAATGATATATTGCAAGGGACTAATAACATAGTAGGCAAAATGTGATTGTAGATACTACATAGAAATACCGTAACTTTGGAATTTCCTTTAACGCAAATATGTATTTCACAGATCTACAATAATTATAGTTGGAGCTTTCCTTCGCAACTTCACCTGCATTGGTATGTCGTGTGTTGACACATTTTTCACTAAGTATGACTCAACTACCGTCCGGCTGTATATCAACTATCAAGATAACGTCATATCCGTCATCTCGGGAACTTTATCTGAACATTATGACAGGCTAACGACTCCTGCAATGTCCTGAGCACCTGGTATGAATATTAAACAGATTATTTCAAGACCTACCTATGTATTTACATGTTTTTACTACACCACTACATTTGTTACTTACAGAGGTACGACCATTTTGTTTTTGTTAAAGTTTATATAAAATACACCAGCAAAAATGTAAAAAATACATATTACATGTAAATATATTAATATTTTTTTCAATAACCCGAAAATTAATTTACGTAGGTACACATCTTTAACATGTTACGAGTTTGCTCAGTCAATATTAGCGGCCTTTAAAGCCATCATTAACACCTTTATACCGAATTGTGTTGACTATCAATAAGGAATATTGAAAAAATATCAACAGTGTATTATTATAACGTATTGTATATAGCATAACAGATCATCCAAAGTCAAAGACAAAATCATTTATATCAATTAGACCAAGACGGCATTTTGTTGAACGTCTAGCTCGAGTGAAGCGATTTGCTCGTTCCAAACTCCATAGGCTCCTCTTTTTTAATCAGGTATCCTTAATAAATACGAATTTAATGTGTCATTATTTGTTTTATTCTCTGTTCAAAAGGTTGGCAATGTATTCAGATTTGTTTTCGGATACTACCTACCTGTTGTACCTGTTTTGATATGTCGCATCGGTGTTATTCTTTAAGATAAGACCCTTTTCCTGGCTAACAAATACAACACAATGGTTTTCGAGTTTAGAACTTTGCAACACATTTTACGTGTCATATTAACTTAAATGGTCAGAGATTTTATTATTTACGTACCCTGCCGACTTCTTCTTCAACTTTCTTAGCTACCCTGTAGATATCTTCCTTGCTGGCCAAGTCTACCACGTACCCGTAGCATTTGCCACCGATGCCCTTCACCAGCTTGACTGTGTCTTCCAAACCTGAAACAAAACACGTTTGGTAATCATCATCATCGCATTGACTTTCCATTTTATTGCGATACGCGAATACAGTAATGTTTAATAGTAAATAGTTAGTTGTTGACCGCGACAGTCACTGGCGCGAATTTTGGATGTAGTCGCTAATTTCATTTCTATGTTTAAATATAGCTCTTTCGCCTTTTATTTCTTTCTTTAACTTCAAAATCTTTAAAGTTTAAGTTCACTTCAATGGTTTCCAACCTTGTGAACCAAAATGCGTTCAGCTATTAACTAGGTTCATCTAGAGACGATGTAACAGACGATTAGGAATGTCAATGACGCGATTGGATGTGGATGACACATTCAAACTTACATATGTATCTATATGTATTTTAATTCTTCACGTTTTATATGGTTACCGACTGTAATAAAATAAGTGGGTATATAGGTGCTTAGTAATTCCAATTACAAAGTCGTAAAATATGTATAATAAAAATACATAATTATTTTTATGCTGTAGATGCTAGAGTTTAATTTAATTTATTACTTTGCTAGGTGTATTTGAGTTTATGAATTAGGTGTGATATGTAGGTAATTAGGTATTTAAAGAATTAATTACGTGTATTATTTTTTAGACACGGGATTATTTTTATAAACAATTAATTCTTGAATAATTGTTTGTAGAGGATGCCTAGAGACAAAGCGTTCTTAAATATGCCAAATTCTACACAGTGAATCTAAATGTACAGCCTCATAAGCTTGTAGTTCATTTGAGCCAATAACTCAAACAGAAAGAATTTTAGAACCAGTCCCAAAATGAACGAACGGGTTCAATAAACTCTGTCGAACTTGACCTTTTTTGACATTTAAGTGTACTGTTACGCGGAAAACAATAAAAGAATCCATTTGTCTGCCAAAGAAGTCATTTAAGTAGCATTTCTTTGTAGCTGAGTATGAGATAACGCGCGCTTTGGACGTGCCTTAGTTACTGACTTTCATTATCTTCTCACTTCTGCACTCGAGTGTACGTTAAAGCACACATAGGTACCTACTTTCTATAATGAAACTGATGGCGATGTCCATTAACGAGGTAGCGAGTCCGTTATAAGTATTTTTTATAAATTTCGAGTGCGAGTAGAAAGTAACGGGTCGACGAAAAAATATTCACATTATAATCCGTTGACATTAATGCCGATGGTTCTAATGACACAATACAAAAAAGTAAACATTTAAATTGCTGGTTCTGAAATTCAGCTTTTCACAAAATGTAGACGCATTTGACATTAAAGATTAGGTATATGAACAAAATTTTTACCAAGTAGGTACTATTTTTTTGTTAAGCCTTCATAAAATGTTCTTAAAAAATCCAATGAGATTATCAGTAAGAGGGTTCGAGTAAACTTATTCGGAGCAACTGCTTTCAATTTCGTTTATAACAGTAAAACGTTTTCTCAGCTTAATTACAGCTAATTAGATTAATGCGGTACGTGCGTCTGTCTGTTGCATGTGTGCGCGTGCGCGTTGCCCGTGAAGCGCGGAAGTACTGCAGCGGTGCGTAAGCGCAGCATTACCATTACAGGCGCGTGCGCAGTGTATGCGCCGGAGATTGCTCTTTCAGCCGTGTCATTGTACTGTTGTGTTCGTTGTTAATTTAGGAAGTCGAATGTTTGTGTTAGGGTTTATTAAAAATCTTAATTCATTTGGAACTTTTCTGCAGCTTACATGTATTTTGGAATTATAATAATTACTTATGCGGAGTTTTTATAACTACGGAAGTTAATGCGTGCTTTAGTTATAATTGCAAAGCTTTGTAAATATGGTACAGCCGGACTGGTCAGCCTATATCTCAGCTTTTATGACGTTCAAGACTAAAGTTTCAGTCAGTTGAATGTGTAGTGCTCATCTATTTAAAGCTAAATTTCAAGCTAAATATAATTACGCAGTTCCATTTATTTTGATCCTTATTCTATATTACTTATTTAACCTGTTGTTATTACTGTTCATGCAATATTTAAAGGGCAAACAGTTTGCTGTGCGTGCGTTAAACGTGTGCTCTTGGCCGAATACTCTTGAAACATGGGCCTGATTCAATTGATCGAACACGAGGTTTCTTGCACAAGCGCCGGAATCCGGCTCACCTTGACAGTTTCATGTAATTTGGCCCATAATTTGGTCATCGCTGGTGCTTAATGTTCACTTAAAATTAATACTAATTTATTCTTGATTGCCATTGTTATTGTCTATTCACGTAATGCTTGTAAGACGTTGTTTTTATTCAGTGTAATAAAAACTTGCAAAGTTTAATATTAATTTTCATTACAAACGTCTTTATTGGGTCTTATGAACCCTGAAAAAAGGGTCGGCAATAGTTGGAAGTGTAATTGTAGCAATAATTTCTCACGAAGTAATTGTAATGAAGTTCAGTTTTAATTACGTAACGAGCTCGCTTTCGACCGTTACTTTATTAGAACAGGTTAGAACGTTACCATGTTTATTGTTTCTTTTTATTTTGTGTATTGTGTTAGGTATTACATATTTAAATCTATATAATTATGTATAAATGAAACTCGTTTCCCGTTGTCACGCCATAACTTGTGAACGGCTTGACGGATTTGGCTGATTTTGTTTTTGTTGTGTTAGTTATTGTCAGGAAAAGGTTCTTATGACAGATGAAATGAAAAATTTCTGAAAATCCTACGGGAACGAGAGAAAACGGGATTGCGCGTACGAAGTCGCGGGCAGAATATTACATAAATATTACACATTAGTGGGGCTTTTTTTTAAGGGGGGAAAATCATCGAATGGCTGCTCCCGCCTGGGTGAGGCGGGAGGGAGTGTCAGACTCTTACTGACTAAAAACCACCCCGTTCCTTCTCCTGCACGACGAGTCGGAGCCCCGGTTACCCGTTAGGTTCTCCGCGACACATTAGTGGGGCTTGGGAACAGGGCTTTGCGATGTTTTGTCCATACGCGAATATTCACACATTAAGTATTTAAGTATCCTATCTAGCTAAAAAATATTATGAAGGTACCAACGAAATTTTAAGTTTAATCTTAATATAAGGACAATAAATAGGTAATTATTAACATTATGATGTTCATATTTTATTTCACCGTATTAAAATGTAAATAGCCTGATCAAACGGAAATTATTTTGGAGTGTGGCTTCATAAACTCTGTTTATTGACTAAAAAGTAGAGCTACTTCACTGTCTTATACCTAGGGGCATCACTGTTGAAGCTGCGAAGGTCATATAAATATTTCTTATAGTCATTGCGGCTCTACCACAACGCAATCACTTGCAACAAGCAACGTGTAGTGTTATTTTCTCGAACATAATGAAGATATCGCCTAGGGTTATCAAATCCACTAAGGTATGAGACAGAACACGGGGTGGTTTTAAGATTTTTAGTCAGTCAGTAATCTTACCTAGCCCTAGCCTTGGGAAGATCTCCATAACTTTCCACCTTAGATCATGGCAACACGATTTCTTTCAATACTTATAGAATGAACTAGAAGCATTTATTATTCATACTCATGTTTGTAATTTTTGTCCTATATGTGGTTCCATACAAGTAAAACAAGTGAATTTATTTCTGTAAATAGGCTACAAGGCAGCACTTTTACACATCAATTTTATCAAGCGAACGATGAGGTCATAAAAAATCAAAATATTTGCTTGTTTTGCTAAGAAGTTAAATATTATTAACGCAAGATCGTCAGAACAAGGAACTCGAAATATAGATTACACACAACTTTAAACAATTAAAGGTACCGTAAGTTTACGCCATATGGTTTAAAATAAATATGAAAATACCTAAAACTTTGCAAGCAAAAGTATAATTTAAGATCGAAAGAATAAAGTGACTTTTACCTTTTAGTTCTTTCCCATATCAATAAGACAAGATTAGTAGTGGTTAATATTCCCAAACAATTTTGCATCATCATCCAAAGATCACGACTCCGCCTAGAGGTTTAACCAGCTTATTATCAAAGCCTCAATGCATATATAAAATATGGAACGTGCACTAGTGAGAAGTCATTTTCTGCATGTAAACGTCACTCTATGCATGTGACAACCCTAGATAAATAATGATGGCAATTACTAAGCGTTATCTGAGATACACTCATGCGCATAGCTGTGGTATTACAAATGGAGATCGATGGAGACTTTGATAGATTGCATTTGGGATGGGATTTGTGAACATTATTTGTTTCTAAGTTATGTTACTGATTGAAGCTTCTCTTTTGTTCAGTTTTTGTTTCTTGGTACATAATTACTTATGTATATAGTAAGTAATCATTCATTTAATTGGACTTATACCTACCTAACTATGTTTTTATTGCCGTGTTGTACCTGTAAAATGCCTTTGACAGTTTTAATGACTGCATGCTGTGTTTGTTTGACTTACGTACTTATAAATGCCCATATAATACCTGCAGTTGCTTTTATTTTCAACAAAAAGTATTGTGCATATTATTTGTACCTAGACATACGTGTGTATAAAATAAACAAGCACCAATTCGGGTCTGATTTTAAGTTCGGAATAAATGTGGTTAATATAAAAAATATTGCTGATAAAAAAAGGATTAATGTTTAAAAACAATTGTTTTTTAGTCACCTTTAATAAAAAACATATGAATGACGTGAATAAAATTAAATGGGTTCAATAAAAAATGACCATTGGACACAAAAAATAAACATTGACGTAAAGATGACTTCTGGAACAAGTTACTGAAAAAAATAATTTCTGCCGTCACCATTCGACACTGGCAGTATAGTCGACAACATCGTATTGGAGACTCGGTTACCAAAGTAAAAATAAAAAATTACAAGACATTCATTGTATGAGGCACCGTAAAAATAAACATAATTATGTATCTACATGTACTCTGTGTTGAAAAAAAATGAAGGTTTGATCAACTACCTAGGTACTAACCGATTGATCTCAAAGCAATGAATGAACCAAATTTCTTTAGACCGAATAAATTAATAAAATTAGCTGTTTGCAAGGGATGTA